GGAGTTCATTGATTAATTCTTGTGCTTCCATGTACTACATGCTGAAGCACTCTACTCTAATGTACAACAGCTGGAAGGAAGACATTGAATACTTCAGTGAAGGTCCTAACTCCTTATTGCTTCTAATCAAACTCCAGTGAAGTTCAAGCTATTTGTTAAAGGAAAGTAAAGCTTATTTTCCCATTCTGGTCCTGTTTCTCTCACTTGTCTGTCTTTACACCTCCTTATTTAACCAAGATATCACTTTAGCCACTTAACCTTACTGGGGAACTGTTAGGCTTTAGGTAGCTAAATGCCCAGTCAGGTTGTAATAATGTGTTTTCAGGCTTGCAGAGGTGAAGGTTTGCTTAAATAAGGATTTTTAAAGCCTGGCAGGAATAGGCCTGGCCCATGCTTCATAGTGTACTCCTAAGTAAAAGCTGGAGAGAGCAGTATTTCATAGCTAAAAAAGCCCTCATGTGCCACAGGTCCTACCTTCAGTAAGGTAGAAATCACAGCCACTCTACATGAAATCACCAACTACTGCCAGTAACTGCTTCTTGCCTTAAGGGTTCCAGGGGTAAGTCAGTCAGTCATTTAGTATCTAGAAGACCCCATTATCCTGAAAGGCACTTTAAATTTGATCATCACTACAACTGAGTAGCAGTGTGAGGAGACAGGTGATACACTACTAGGCATAAACCCTAACAGAAATTCACTTGAGAAACAAGAAGCCAACTTCAGTCCTTTTCACTAGAATAGAAAACAATACTGAATATGCAGCTCACTGAGGAAGAGAGCTGAGTGTGGTTCTGCAGCTCTAATATAGAACTGAAATTCCCAACCTAGCCCCAGTAGCTACTTTTTAAAATTTATTTAAAAAATGAAGACAGCTAATTAGGAAACTGTTTAGGTCACATTGCAGAGTATGCAACTAACTTTTTATTATTTGAGCTTCTAAATCATCCTTTGAAGTGGTATTTCAGTTCAAGGGGATAAGCAAGTGGAATAGTTCAAGGGAATAAGGTGCCATCTTCCCCACTCCAATTCAGGATCCATGTTAGTTCAGAAGAAAACAGTTGAACTCATTTCATGCATGCACACATGAACACTTATAAGCTAGAACTATGTGCTATGAATTTGGCCTGACAATGTAAGAAAAATTAGAGCTCGGGAATCATAGATAACACAGCGTTAAAAAGAACTCACCAAAACTGGTATTTAACTTTACATCACTTCTTAAAGTCTCAGTTGCCCCACCTGGCAAGCAATTATATAATAAAGTTGCAACTACACAGTTAGTGTATGTTGTTGAACACATAAAAGAGCTAAGAAAGAATATATTTTTGAAATTTGTTAAAATGATAGACTGACTGACTTTAAGATCTTAACACTGTAATCACATGGTTGAGGTTAGAAGGGAGCTCTGGAGATCATCTAGTCCAGGTTATTTTTTTCCAGGTAGCTTACTTCTGCTGCGTAAATATGGGTGTGCAGGATACAGTTTTTAATGGCCATGTGAGACTTTTTTTCTGCTGTAGAGCCTCAACTGCTTCAGTTTCATTTGTAGCCATCCTCATGTAAAAACTCATTTTCTGAGAGGAAAAATCAATAGGCTAATGAATGCAGTTACTGGGGTATGTTACTGTAATTTAGCAGCAGAGCTGTGCCTAAGGAACTACGTGTAGACCAGTATTTTTCTAGCATCCTCCTTCAAAATAGCATACACCATTCAGTGACTCCACATGAAAACAGGAGTTCATTGATTAATTCTTGTGCTTCCATGTACTACATGCTGAAGCACTCTACTCTAATGTACAACAGCTGGAAGGAAGACATTGAATACTTCAGTGAAGGTCCTAACTCCTTATTGCTTCTAATCAAACTCCAGTGAAGTTCAAGCTATTTGTTAAAGGAAAGTAAAGCTTATTTTCCCATTCTGGTCCTGTTTCTCTCACTTGTCTGTCTTTACACCTCCTTATTTAACCAAGATATCACTTTAGCCACTTAACCTTACTGGGGAACTGTTAGGCTTTAGGTAGCTAAATGCCCAGTCAGGTTGTAATAATGTGTTTTCAGGCTTGCAGAGGTGAAGGTTTGCTTAAATAAGGATTTTTAAAGCCTGGCAGGAATAGGCCTGGCCCATGCTTCATAGTGTACTCCTAAGTAAAAGCTGGAGAGAGCAGTATTTCATAGCTAAAAAAGCCCTCATGTGCCACAGGTCCTACCTTCAGTAAGGTAGAAATCACAGCCACTCTACATGAAATCACCAACTACTGCCAGTAACTGCTTCTTGCCTTAAGGGTTCCAGGGGTAAGTCAGTCAGTCATTTAGTATCTAGAAGACCCCATTATCCTGAAAGGCACTTTAAATTTGATCATCACTACAACTGAGTAGCAGTGTGAGGAGACAGGTGATACACTACTAGGCATAAACCCTAACAGAAATTCACTTGAGAAACAAGAAGCCAACTTCAGTCCTTTTCACTAGAATAGAAAACAATACTGAATATGCAGCTCACTGAGGAAGAGAGCTGAGTGTGGTTCTGCAGCTCTAATATAGAACTGAAATTCCCAACCTAGCCCCAGTAGCTACTTTTTAAAATTTATTTAAAAAATGAAGACAGCTAATTAGGAAACTGTTTAGGTCACATTGCAGAGTATGCAACTAACTTTTTATTATTTGAGCTTCTAAATCATCCTTTGAAGTGGTATTTCAGTTCAAGGGGATAAGCAAGTGGAATAGTTAAAGGGAATAAGGTGCCATCTTCCCCACGCCAATTCAGGATCCATGTTAGTTCAGAAGAAAACAGTTGAACTCATTTCATGCATGCACACATGAACACTTATAAGCTAGAACTATGTGCTATGAATTTGGCCTGACAATGTAAGAAAAATTAGAGCTCAGGAATCATAGATAACACAGCTGAAACCTAGACCAGAGCGTTAAAAAGAACTCACCAAAACTGGTATTTAACTTTACATCACTTCTTAAAGTCTCAGTTGCCCCACCTGGCAAGCAATTATATAATAAAGTTGCAACTACACAGTTAGTGTATGTTGTTGAACACACAAAAGAGCTAAGAAAGAATATATTTTTGAAATTTGTTAAAATGATAGACTGACTGACTTTAAGATCTTAACACTGTAATCACATGGTTGAGGTTAGAAGGGACCTCTGGAGATCATCTAGTCCAACCTCCCTCCTCAAGCAGGGTCATCTAGAGCACATTGCCCAGGATCGCACCCAGGTGGGTTTTTAACCATCTATCTCAGGGAAGGAGACACCACAACCTCTCTGGGCAACCTGTTCCAGTGCTCTGTCACCCTCACAGTAAAGAACTTTTTCCTCAGATTCAGCTGACACTGCCTGTGGTTCAGTTTCTGCCCGTTGCCTCTTGTCCTGTCACTGGGCACCACAGAGAAGCAACTGCCCCCCCCCCCCACACACC